GATTTGTTTCCCTCAATAAGCTATTGAATTATAAATGTATTTTAAAAGTTGATAACTTTTGTATTTCTTATCGGTTTTACATATATAATATATCAAATTAATCATCTTTTGATGATCTTCGATTTGACATCCATATTGTATATATAAAATAAATAAATTATATTTATCTTTATGATAATAAAAAATAATAATACTTATTAAAATTCATTAGAAAATAAAATTATTTCTCAATTGATATATTTATATTTAATGTAGTTATATATTGTAAGGTAAAAAATTAGTATAATATAACACAAGTAAGTCGCACAAATAAAAATTATCATAATAAATATATAATAATATATACATTCTTATAAAAGGTATTTAAATTTTCAAACTACTTTTTCTCATTGATTTTAAATTTTAAGAAAAAAATTAGCAAGCACCCGTGTAATACACGGGTGTTGTACTAGTAGAAAATAAATTAAAAAGGTATGTTAATACTATTGGTCAATTAATTAAGCAATAAGAAAAATTTGGTAACCCCAACGCCATTAACAACCACTTATGAATTTTGGGAACGGAACAAAAGAAAGTTGGATCTGAATGAATAAATGGATAGGGGTCTAATTTAATAATATAGATATATCGCGATCTTTCTTAGCAACGGTTGCTCGCGTGATTTGTCATAGTGTGGCAGGCGGGGAGACCAGATCTGTAAGAAAGAGTGGTTCGCTTCGAAAAGTTTGTTTGGTCGTTCGATGTAATTGACATCTCCTGGCAACGTCGAGACTCACTTTGCTCTCCTATGGTTAGGCGCTTTTAAGAATTCTCAATTGCCTAAGAGATGGGTAGCCTTCTATGTAAACCGTCACGAGACTACAACAAGACTGAAAATTAAAAGGCTTGTAATATTAAGCAATAAGAATCATTATATAATCAAACTTGTTCGTATCTATATTTTTATATTGTATAATTATTACTAATTTTCATATGATAGTATTTGAATTATTGCAATTGAATTTTATTTTGCCTGTCATTTCGATTTCCACGATGAATTTCCTTGACAGTGGGCAAACAATAAGATAGCTTCAAAATCCCGTGTGGGTGTGAGAGTGATATTCTTTTAAAATATTTAAATTCAAATCACGTAAGAGTAAAGATATATATAGATTCTCACACTTATTATTAATTTTAAATTTTCATTTATATACTTTATTATACCATATAATTTTTGTGAAAAATATTTCTCAATTAAAAGTTTATATTTAAATTCAAAAATAAAAAAAAAGGTGAAATTAAATGAAGGAGTGATTAAATAATTGTTGTGCGTGGGAATAAATGGGACCATAATATAAAGATATATTAACTGTGAAGTGATTATATAGAGCATGATTGCACTCGTGGGCTCTTGAAATACTTTAATTTAATTCTTTTTTCTTCTTCTTCTTCTTTTTGGAATTGAATGTGATCCAAAGGCAGAAGATATTCCACAGAAATATTAATTTTAATCAATAAGATTTTGACGTGATTTTAAAAGTTGGGGAAATACTACGGTTCCGTTACGGAATCATCCCGTCAAGTGTTATAACCGTTGGATACAAATGTAGTTAATAACCCGACAGAATGGTTCCGTAACGAGACCATAGTATTTTCTTAAAAGTTAAGGGCAGGAGAGGAAGAATGTGCCTAGTGACAAGATGATGACAAATGTTGACTAATTAATTAGGCTGATATTAATACGTAAATATGCTAATAATATGGTGGTTGGTCATTATCTTCTTTTTTTTTTTTTTTTTTCTTTTTTCATCCTCAGAATATTAGCATAAATTGAGAAAATAATCAATTGTGAGAAGACTTTGGTTAGTTATAATAGTTGAAGATTCGATTCATGTCATTAGAGGCTATTAAGCCACTTGAGATATAGATATTCGATTCCATAGTTGAAGACTTTGGTTAGTTATAATCAATTGTGATTAACTAGAGTTAATTTTTTTTTTAAAAAAAAAATGCGACATGGTTAGCTGACAGTGGTGTTTTAAAAAATATATTAAAATAATATTTAAAATAACATGATTAATATCGATTTAATGTAAAAGTAAAAGATAAATGATTGATGATGATTGGAAGACAATTAAAATTATGTGAGTAAGTAGAGTAGTGAATAAAAGATGTGTAAGAATAATTTGTTTGTATTATTTAATTATATGAATAATATTAGGGATAACGGAGTTGAGTCAGATTTCTTAGTATGAAATAAATTTGAGTAAATTATTTGGTAAACAAGCATGCCCATTGTTTCTAGGGCTTCGACAACGGCAGATCGATAGGAGAACCGTATGAAGAAAACAAAAAGGTCGTCGGATAAATTGGATCGAGAATTTGATTTCATATACAACTTGATGAGGACATTGTCATAAATTTTGAATAATGTTGAACCCAAATGTAAAGATTAGACAAAATTGATACAAAATTAAAAGTTATTATACCAAACTGAATTTTACAAGGAAAAAAAATGGAAAAGACACAAATTATTGGACACAAATTTATTTTTATTTTTTTTCCCTATTTTTTGCATAAGGGTAAAAATAATACATATTCCCCTATATAAAAAAATTCAACCAGCAATGCAATAGGTATATATAGACGTACAATTCGAATTTTGATGTACACCTGTGCCATGTGTGCCTAGTAATTTTAGGAATCTTTTGGACTAAATTGGTAAAAAGAAAATAAAATGAGCCCTTCCATATTTTTCTCAATATGTTTGTGATGTGACTGGAAATTTTGACGAGTGAAATTGTTAAGAAGTTCGAACTCTGAAAAATTCTCAAAACGTCACTCAAAATTCCAAACGAATACACCTCCATGCCGAGTGATACTTTGAGCCTATCAACCCACTAACATTTTTCATTATGCCCTCTACATACATAACCATATATAGTTGATGTGTTAGTGATAAGACTGGCTACACCACTATGGAAATTAGTTGATGTGTTAGTGGTAAGATTGGCTACACCACTATGGAAATTGCAATGTGATGCCTTTGCTCTTTTATAGCAAAAAACTTCATGTCAATAACTTTACCATGTTTAGGATTTTAACAATTTAATGAGAAAAATGGCTATTAGAGTCCTCAACTATTACGAAGAGACACCAAGAACCCTAATCCTAAACTAAACTAAAGCTATTGCAATAAGAAAAAAAAAAAAAAAATGTATCGAAACGCACATAGCCGAGGATCATTTATGAAGCTGTGTTGAGAACCCGTCCTCCGTCCCTACAATCAAAAAGCCTGAATGAGAGTAATTGACCTCCTGCCGATTCGAAGGGGCCTGGGCTTGTATAGTTGAAGGGGAAGCAAGAGGTAGTAGGGGACCGGTTAAGCCAATCCTAGGGTCGATGTAATTGAGACGAGGGGCTTCCTTCTGATCTACGACCACCCTCAAGTAGGATCGGGGGAAGTCCTATCAATATACTTTTTTACTAGAAAAGACAATATGAGTAACACCTTGTTTGGTGTATAAATCAACATTAGATAGTCGAATAAAACTTAGAAAGGGTTTCGATCATAGCATATATGATCATATCAATGAGTAACCGAAAGTTTGAAAAAAAAAAAATAAAAAAATCGGAGCTTCTCTAGATAGCGCTAAGCCACACATTGTAAACCTAAATAACCACAAAAATACGAGTATGTTCGTCTCAAGGACAAATAACTAGATTAGAAACCAAAATAATAGACATGGTGCCATATCTAAGTTATAGTACAATGTGAATCATGGTCTCTTCTTTCACTCTCAACCTAGTATAATAAAGTGGAAGCTTATCAATGGGAACAAGACATTTCATACAAGGGCTAAGAATTGCACTAAGACCCTCCCAATTTTTACAAAATGGGAGACATGACCTCACAATCCACACACACAACAAATAAAATTGTTTTGGTTAAGAGTAAAAAAAGGAACTATGGGGACTGATAAAAGGGCATAAGAATTATGTACAAAATTCACCAAAAAAAGAAGTGTTTTTTGGCAATCCCTAGGAGAAATAGTGAAACAACTACATGCATCAAAGTGCTGTACATAAGAGAATGATGGATCAAAATAATACAACAATCAAAAGGCAGAGCCTTTATCTTTATTCCTCTTTTGTTTTTCATCCTCTGACAAAAGGAAACCAACACACCATGACAATCCCCATGTTCACACACACACACAAACACTAACATAAGTGCTCTTTTTGTAGAAACAACAAATATAAAAGAGATGAGACAATCAAAGTAACATTAGAGGACAATTTTAAAAGACGAATCAGAACCGGGTAGGGAAAGTGACCCGAGGCCCATCGATTTGCAGGTTTTTTCTTTATCTAAAGGTAAGAGAGAAAAAGTAGCGTCCCCCTTCGCTATTTCCCTAACTTATCAAAATCCCATCTGGCTTTAACCCTTTGCTTTTACTTTGCAATGTTCTTTTCTCTTCACACCTAGCAATTTATGTTCTACTGTCTAAACTGTGTAAATTATAGACTTGTCTGTAAATGTTCTAGCTAAGCATCACAGAACCTGAAATTCCTGAAGCTGAAAGTGTCCCGTCTGCTAACAATTTCAAGAAAAAATGGTTATAAGCTAGCTCTGCTACCAATGCTTAAGTTAATCCAAAATCTAAGTAGGGTTTTAAATATTTGTTTATGCGCTTCTTCTGCTCTGCTTTTCACAAACGATTCACAAACAAGCATTCTTTTATTATCGTTTATCGAACTATCAATTACTACTTCTAGCTTCTGCTGCAATAAATCACTTCAGAAAGCATACTCTAAAATTCAATGGCCACTGAAATTTAAAAAAAAAAAAAAACAAGAAAAAAAAAAGAAAAGACTCCATGAAGATGACAACATTACTTGATGGATTGATTAGATAAAACATATATAGCAGCATTCGTCAGACCGAATAACAAAATTTGAAATTTAACTATATAACTTATATCAGTCCCCAGAAGCCAGAGGCTCCAGTGAAATACCATTCAAAAATTCCCGGTCCAATTCAGGTGGCCCAATTGCGGTTGCTGGTAGGCACCCACCTGAGCCCCAGGACCTGGTGCTGCCACACCAACCCCAACACTGCCGCCAATGGTGGGCCCGATATGGTGTTGGCCGGCTATGGCCCCAGGCTGAGATGGTGGATGATGGTACATACCTGGGAACTGCATGTGAGAAGATTGAGCAGCCGTAAAAGAAGCATGGGCAGTGTGTGAAGTCAGATAAGCGGGATGTGGTGTCTGCCCAGGCATGTTGTAATACGAGGCCGACTGTAGGCCAGGAAGTTCCCTTGGGTTCATCCAAATTTCAGATGTCTCTGCCTGTTAAAAAAGAAAAAAGTGGAAAGCAAAAAATATAAGGAAATGAAATAGAGGAAAACACGTGTTACTAATTGGCCAATTTATGCAAAAACATAAGGGTTCAGTTGATTTTGGATGGTGAACTAGACTGTAACTAATTTTCGTTGTCTTCAGGATGCAGTTATAATTTATGTATTAACAAGGGGAGAGAATGCACTCCACCTTGTTTGACAAATCATACTCGACAGGAAACAATGACATTCTTAGCTTTGTCTTTCCCTAGTAATGATGAACAGAGAAACAAACATCTCTAATCGCAAGGCACCACATTTTCAGACAAATGCAACATATTTAAACACAAGATCTACCAAGTACTTTATGTATATTAACACTCTGCACGTACGCAGCTCGCCATAAATTAAACAATTATTCATTAACAGATCCATGAACAACTATAGCAAGCTATGTAATGTCCACTCCCAGAATACACAACAACAGATTACACAAATAATTTCTGATTAGCACTCTTACAGCAACAATTATAGCAAGAGCACAATCTAAAAGATGACACAAAACAGTTTTCTTTTTCTTAAAACAAAACACAATTCACCTGAGGGTTCGGGACATAAAGATTGTCTTTATATTTTATCCGGGATGACTCATCATAGCCAGCAGGGCTGGTGAAGTTTCCGAAACCGGTGGGCCCACCAGCCGGCACGGGCTTGAACTGCTGGACACCATACTTTACGCCACTGGCCGAAAGGTGATGAGAGCTGTTTCCGGGCATCAACACGTAGCTGTTGCCGTTGGAGGGGTGAGGGTACGCGGGGCTGTTAGAGTAGCCGGGAACAGGCATTGGCGGCACATAGACAGGAGATAGAAACTGGCGATAGGGCATTATGTTTGTAAAATGAAGCTGAGGATACATCTGGGCCAGTTGTTGCTGTTGTTGCGGTTGCTGTACCATTGCAATTGATGAGGCAGCAATAGTGCTTGTAGTGTGAGTGCTCAGGACCTGTTAAAGTTCAAATAGTAACTAACGATATGCAAAATGCATCGATTCAAAGAAAGAGGTTGATTACAAAATCACTAATGAGGTTTAGCATAGGTAACTAAAACACTGATTTTTCCTTTCTTGTTTTCTTTATATTTACAAGTGCCCACTGGCATTTGATTCTCTCTTACCAAATCCAACAGAGGGGGTGCAACAAAAGGGAAAATAACTACAACCAATAGGAGGCAGGAGAGGGGGTGCTTGTGAAACTTTAATATATAACTGGAATTTTCTTGCAATTAGGCTAAGTATATCTTGTGTGTGTGTGTGTGAGAGAGAGAGGGAGAGAGAGAGACAGAGAGACAGAGAGTCCAACATGGGACATGAGCATGATGCATAGCTTCAAGTGGGTGACAGTTTGCATGCTTGGGAAACAGACAAAATGAAGAAAACAGGCAGTTAAAAATTTAATCTAACCTCTTGAGATGATGGTAGGCCAGTCCCTCTAACAGTTTCATCAACAACTGGGCGAAAGTACGACATGTCATACCCCATCTGTGGATCATAACCCTGGATGCAGATACACGTACAAATTCATATAAACTACCACAAAATAATAGATATTAACAAACCGATTCAGAACAAAATCCAGAAGAAAACGAGAATTGTCTTTAATAACCAGCTCGACAATGAGTAATCAGTAAAAGTTCAAAATTTCAGACGCACAGAAAAGGTAGGCAATTCAGGCGTGTCTTGCTGCTGTAGCGCTTCTGGAGAGTAAGATGGGCTACTGTCCCGTACCAAGTCAGCATCGGCAAAGTTGTCCATATCCTGGGGTTCTGATGACTCTTTCTTTTCCATCAGTTGGTGATCAGACACACCACCAAGAGCAGGGGAAAATGACCCAGAACTTCGTACAGAATCATCGATCACCTCCAAAGGCTTGCTACCACCAGCCTGCTCATCTCCTGAAGATTCAGGTGCAGAGACTGGTGCACTGCAATAGCATATTGTTCATGGTCATTTCTACTAGGACTCAATATATCATCTCCAACGAAATCCTTGAACATAAACAGATCAGAGTCAATTTTTAATCACATTAGAAACAATTAAATATTTCAAATTGTCCCCAGTTCAAGAAGCAGTCTCCGAGTCAATAGACTTGCCTCATTAAAATCATTATCAGGCAAGGAATTCCAAGTGCTTATCCAATTTGTAGATTGAAATGAAGTGCTTTTTCTATTTCAACTTCTTTTTTCCTTTGATTCTTTTTCTTCTTTCTTTTTTTTTCTCGAATGGGGTTTGCTTTAAGGGAGCCGTTGAAATAAATCCCCGACCAAAACATACTCAAAACATGGAACCGGTGAAAGTAACCACAACATATATAATATCACGACAGAACAAGGGCTTTTACAGCTAACCAGACTTTCAAAAAATGTTAATCGAAACAGATTAGATAGTCATTTTTCTTCACAGATAACCAAAAAGTATTTAAAACATAAAAAATCACTAAGCATAAGATAGCGCATCAAGTTATAAATAAAACCTACCTCGCAGAATGATTGATAGATAGAGCTTCTGTACTGACATCAATCGCACTCATTGAACTTGCTGAAGTACCTAAATCAGTCCCGAGGCTGCCAAACGTCAGTCGACACTTGTCTGTCTCAGAGACACGGATGTGTGCAGCTATAATCACATTTTTGTTTTCAGATATATTCAACCGTGAAACACTATCTTCTATCTGAGCTGCCTCTTTTCTCAATATATCGGGCTTATCCGAAGGAGGAGAAACTGTTTTTACAGGACTTCCAATAACCCCAGGACCACCGGTACCTGGTTTTGCAGAGGTTTTCGGCTTCCATTCCTTATTAGGCTGAGAAGCTACAAACAAAAAGCTTCAACCTTCAGTGAGTTCTTCAATACAAATTTATGATTCAGAAAGTGATAAGGTACTGCAATATTATAACAGAAATTTGATACAGATGCAATCCAGAGTCAACATCTTATAACTCGCTGTTTTTTCGGGCTACCTAACTCTGTCTCTAGCGTTATTTTGCGTGTTTGTCATTCCATTGGTATGCAAATGAGTTATTATGTCATCATAAGCACATAAAAAAGTTTCACAAGATCATAATCACATATCAAACCCCAATTCAGAAGATATGCTTTGGTCTGAACAAATTTTTCCATTATACCTTTTTGATGACCCATGGGCTGATGAGGTCTGCTACCATACTGATGATTACTTGAGAAAGATTTGCTCACAGGTACAGCAGACTCGGGTGCAATCTTATGATTTGCATGTTCACTTTGAGATATAGCATTGAATGGTTTAGCTGACTCCAGTTGTTGACCATCTCGTGCTGAATGTGTATTGGACAAAGGGGTGCTCTGAGATACTGAGGGCTTGGCCGAATTTTCAGACGACTGACGGCGAGTTCCCACAACACCAACCTCCCGCCTGATGGCCCCAATGTTAGTAGCGGGTTTAGAATGAGGGGATGGCACGTGAACAGGATCGGAATTGGATGAATAAACACCCACAGCAGAACTACTGGAAGAACCTGCCGAATATGGTTGAGAACCATTTGCCTTTGTTACCCGTGAAGTAGCACTTGGAGCCAAGAGGTGCTTCTCCCCAAGAATTTCATTCCCGCCATTAACACCTGAGGCAGTAACCTTAGCTTGCTTCGGTTGTGTAAGAGCGGAACTATTAAGAGCCCGAGATGAATGCTGACCAACTGTAGGCTCTTGATGTCCAGAAGTTTCAGTAGAACTGCTGTAAAGAACTAAGTTTTAAACTAATGCTCAATCCAAACACAGAATTTACATAAATTTAGCTTTAGTTTGAAAGGTGCAAAGGATACCGAGTTTTTCTGTTCTCTGGTGTATTTTTCCTTTATTTATTTTTTCCCATAGCTTTTGTGCGTGCAGGGAGTAATAGAGGAGGGTCTCTAATAAGACTACTAGGATAGTTATCAATAAAGCATGATATAAACTGAAGACAACTAAATAAACCAGCGCAATGAAACCTCAAATGTAATATAATAAAACTACTAAACTATTAGGATGGTTGATTATGCTAAAGTCATCCTAGCTTAGCAGATGAGGCATACACGAGGAAGCAAAGGAACTACAATTTACAAAAATTAGATTAAAAAACACTTTATTATAATACCTCATGGTAGACCCACTGGAGATAGCCACCTTGCTCTGAGCAGGTTTTGAGTCTGCACTAGAATTCTGATTAACTCTATTATCACGGACAACCCGAAACTCCCGGATAGCTCCTGCATCCAATTGAATAAATTGTATGAATGAAATGAGAGTTGATTGCAAAATTACAAAAGCGACATAATTCCAAAAAGATAATCACAACATCAGGATCCATCATCCATCCGAATTTCCCTGAAATTTTTAGGTGATCTGGGTTTCTTTTGTTTCCTGAGACAGTGATGGTAAGTCACTGTATTTGCCTAATTGCTGATATATCTAGAAACGTTAAAGGCGAAAATAGACCGGTCCAGAATAGATTATGGAGTGAAACTCATAGGATCAGAGAGTAAGATAACAACTTCTCACGGTACATATAAGAATCAGCAAATGGAAGCGGTTTGATTTCCAGAAAGAACAAATAGCAAAACTCTCATTGGGACAGCAATCCATGAGGATATCCTAAATCCCAACAGCACTTAAATTGAAAGGCACGGAAAAAATATACTACAGGGGGTCATATTACCAGTTGCAGTATCTCGACTATAGCCACTTCTACGAGCATTACGGTCAGAGTAAGTGCTGTTTTTTACCGGCATACGATCAGAGTAAGTATTGTTCTTCACCGGCATACGATCAGAGTAAGTACTGTTCTTGACCGGCATACGATCAGAGTAAGTACTGTTCTTCATCGGCATACGATCAGAGTAAGTACTGTTCTTCACAGGCATACGATCAGAGTAAGTACTGTTCTTCACCGGCACACGATCAGAGTAAGTACTGTTCTTCACAGGCACACGATCAGAGTAAGTACTCTTCTTCTCCAGCATACGGTCAGGCTCAGTGCTTTTCTGAGGCTCTGGAGTAGCAAAACTCTTGTAGGGTACACTCTGGGGCTTAATACACATGGAAGAGAAGTTCATAAAATAAGGGAACATAACAGGATAGCAATATACAGGTATTCAGTGATAAGCAACTAAATCAACGAATAAAAGATGGAAATGAATATGAATACAAACTTTAGGTTAACAGAAAGTTAGCTCAAACATCTATATACGACCATGACAAACAGCAAGAGTCAAGTCCATAAATATACCTCTTTTTTTCTGTCTCTTCTTCTCTTCACCTCATGGAATGGATCTGCATATAAACAAGTTGCCAAAAAAGGAAACTTTATAAAATAATGTATAAAAGATTAGTTTAAAAATAACATATACAATGGTTGATAAATCTAATATAGGGGGAAAGAGGCAACTACAATCTCCGGAGATTAAACTGAAAAGCTAAATGTGCATCCACAAAAAGAACACATATTACTGGACTTGAATACAGGAAAAACAGGATTCCACAAATATAATAACATTCTAACGCGAACATAAGATCAAGCTTTTAAAAAAAACCACAGCCATTTCCCTTCAAACATTTCTTTACGGTTTTTGTTACATCGCAAGTATCACCATCACTATTTCTATCCATTAAATTGAGAGAGTGAGAGCTACATATCAATATCCGGACTCTACTTCTATAAAAAAAAATCATCCAAATACGCATTCATAACTGCTGTTCCATGAAGTGATACAACATCACATACAAGAACAAGTGAAGAAACATCTACAGAACTAGCCTAACAACCCAACACTAAAAGCACGTGAAAAAACCTTATGATGCACATAATGTGAGCATCTCCATAATGTGACCATCTCCTCACTAATTTCAATAGTACCTCTTTTTAATCTATCTGCATTGCCGGGGAATTAAAAAAAAAAAAGAAAAAAAGAATAACTTCACTCTGTGCACTTTTTCATACCAACTGATCACTATTCACGCATTATTTCTGCAGCCATGCCAAAAATCCCAACTTGAACATTAAAAAAGAAAATTGAAACTACTCAACCGAACGAAAACGCACAGAACCAGCAAATCACGTCGAGAAAATAAGGGAAAAAATAAGAAATCGATGAAGGGACTAAAATGAAGAAAAACTTCCAGTGACCTTGATTGAGCAACTTTTGCGCGGTTTCATTAGGATCCATGTTCGACTCTTTAAGAGCCACGTAAATATCGGCATCCGAGTGATTGCCGACGATCTCTTTAATCGACAGAATAGTTCTGCGCACGCCCGCCGATAGAACTTGCGCGCCGCCGTCGACTCGGGAGCCAGACACCATTATCGATATCGGAATCAGAAAAGTGATATACAGAAATTAGGGAAAGGGATTTTGCATTGGGGAGAAATAGAACGGCTGAGAGGGTGAGGGAGAAAGGCAGAGGTTTGAGAGCGAGGGTTTTGAAAAATAACAAAAAGAAATTGAAATTAGGTTTTAGTGATGGCGAAAAATTGGGGGAAATTTTGATTTAAATTTGGAAGCAATTGATAAGTGGCAGGCGGAAGAGTTGGTACGGACTAAAAAGGGGCTGTGAAGTTCCACAAATATCCCTTGAAGCTTCGAGCTTATTTAGTTAACGAAATCAGTTCGATTCGTTTAGACTCGAAGATAAAACAATTTACATATCTGTTTGAATTCTTAACTTAGTAGAGCAGTTTTGCTATGGAGTCATCGGATGGCTCGGCTTATGGAGCAATCCATACTTAATCACCAATAGTGCATTGACACGTGTCCTACAATAAATACAATTTAGACAGGTGTCACTATATTAAGTGATAAATGGCTCCATAAGAAAACAATCCGATGACTCCATATAATTTTTGCTTAGTAGAGCTCGAGTTTAACTCGTATTAATTTAAAAATAAGTTGAGCTTTAATTTATTTTAATATTCAAATATCAAAAGTTCAAACTTGATTCTGAGATGATTGTTGAAACTAATTAATAATTCTTTGTAGGATACATGACATTTTCGATGATTACTGAAACTTCTAATTCTTTGTTACATCTACATATATATAATTACTAGCTAATAGCATTTAATAAAACCTATTTAATTTTACCTATGTGACAATTAACCATTTCTCTCCAAAAACCGTTACTTTTAATGAATTTAATATTTTATTTAATTATTAAATAATCAATACTAATCACTTCAAAACAACAAAAATCATTTTAAATTTTTTATTACTAACAGTTGACCGTATTATATATTGACCGTATAATGTGATTAGATGTTATTATTGTGGTTACATTAAATTCATTTTTTTACAAAAATAAAAAACTTATTTGAAATTTTTAAATAAATAATAAATAAATCACAAAAAAAAAACGTACCCAAATAGACATTACATCTAATTAGATAAACGCAATTTAAAAAAAAAAATCCCCACTCTTTTAGTTGTAAATTTGGCCTGATAAAAGTGAAAGAAAAATAATTAATCATTATATGCATATAAATAACTCACAATACTTTATTTACATTATATGCATATAAATAACTCACAATACTTTATTTACATTTGTGCAAATGCACAGGGTCTAATACTAGTTTGTGATAAAAGGTCATCATTCCTTGAATATGTAAGAAACGAAGACAAAACGGGTGCGATCCCACGCACGTAAAGCCTGCTTTCCTTCGTTTTCCTTCATACGACGCCAAGCCCAATACCATGTTTCTTCCTTTTCCTTCATTTTTGACGAGGTCCAAGCCCAATACCATGTTTCTTCCTTTTCCTTCGTTTTCTACGAGGCCCAAGCCCAATACCATGTTTCTTCCTCAATACCATGTAAGAAACGGGGGCACATGGAATAATACATCGGGTTTCTTACTATTGGATTGCACACATACATACACACCCTGCTGTGTGTTGATCCAACTGTGAAAAACTCAGTATGCACGTACTTCAAACATTTGTAGGGTACATTCTTTCACATCTTGAGAATAAACACCCCAACAAAACAAAGTAAAAGCAGTTAAAACTGAAATGTACAGAATCCACATAGGTTGGAAAAACTAGTGTGTGAATTTTGTATACCTAATGTAGGAATATGCAGTATCGTGGATCATTCGTAACTCCTATAAAACAAGTGTCAATTACCAAAAAAAAAAAAAAAAAAGCTACCCACGATATTCTTAGTCTAGTACTGAAAACAAAAACTCGGTTATCTTTCACAATTACAAATACCCCTCTCGATGCACATAGCATGACATGGTAATTCTTGACAGATTTAGAAAGCATCAAGGGGTATCTGTAATTTTGGAAGTATATAATAGGAGCTTTTTGTAATTATGCTAAATGTCGGAGCTAACTGTTTGTAACAACTGCGAAAATAAATTCAGAATAAGTAGCGTGAGTTTCCCCTACTTTAGTCGAGCTGATCATAGGTATTGTTGTTGGATCCTGGCTCTGTTCTCGTTCCACCACAGCTGTGCCTGCATTTCTCCAAATTGATCTCGGCTGCATAGGAGAAAATTCCAAGTTAGGAAAGAGCATTGCTATTTGTTAGTTGATATTTTTTATGTAGAAGACATTTTAAGTAAATATTTGGATTGGAAAAGCAGTGTGTTGACAAACTGAGCTCAAGTTGGGCTAGTAACAGATGGGGAATGATTTTAAACAGTAAAATAATCCGATGTTCACAGATGAACAGATCACATTGGCTTTCTTTTTCATTTTGTTTTTTTTATTTTTGTGGTAGTTTTAGATATACTGAAGGTACACGAAATGCACTTCCCCCGAAGATTTGTTGTGGTCAAATACTGCTCTTTCGACACCAAAAACTTTTGAAAATAATTAACAAAACTTCATTTATCATCCATAATCGTAAATACTCCCTCGACAATAGTTTTGTATGTAAACGAATAAAAACTTCAGTTTGATAGATATTCTTTCATAATTAGGCTACACCACAAAGTTCGTTGCGAAATAATGATTCCCAACTTTTTGTATATTTATATCAGCATTTTTGTATATCTGTATACAGAAAGAACCACCCACCTGAACCGAACTCTCCTAAGCTCCCGACCGCCACCTGGCAAGGCCCTGATGGTGATGTAGACTCCAGGCTCGTCTTGCTCAACCCACTCGCTGTCCAAATCGCTGGCGTTGCTCACTGAGAGCTCTCCAGAGTGGTCGATCTCTCTCGATGAGCTCGATCGCATCGAGGCATCCATGGACAGTTTGGGAGTCGAGTTGAGTCCACCTGGCGAATGGTGAAGAAAACGAGACTGTAACGGGTTTTCGTGTTGCTCAAATGACGAGTGATCGACTTTTGTTGCCCGATGGAAGTGGCGAGGTAGATGTTCTTTGCTCAATGGAGGCGTCACAGGGCTGTCCTCGATAGACTCGGATCTTGAGGCCTGAGAGAGAGAGAGATGAAAAAAATATCAATGAGGAATGTGTAGTTTAAAAAAAAAAAATTAACTATTATTGATTTTATTTAGGCGAACCTCGAGGGTTGTTATTTATCTAGTAAAAACGCATTATTCATTCTAGAAAAAGTATGTAAAAAAAGCAAACCTCGTCTTCGGATCGTGGAGGAGTTGGCATCGGTGCTTCATGACGATTAAACCTCTGGACGTTGTATAATTCCATTACTTTGTCACAGTTATCAACCCACCACCTTTGAGCTTGCCACTTGTTGAAAACATCTCGGCTATAAAAGTTAAAAGCCAACCAGAGGAAGTCAACAAGTAGAGCATATGTGATATGTCAATTAACTTTTTGAAATCCCTTTCAAGTGTTGAAGAAGAAAAGGGACTTGGAAGAACATGCTATGCGTTACGATCTTTCAGTGATAGATTATCGCTAATAAAACTCGTATTTCTGAACCCAATGGGACTATCGAAAAATGTTGATATGCAACACAGTTCCGCAACATATCTAAATTTTTGTTGTCTCGGTTAACAAGGAAAATTGCTTGGAATGTATACAGATCATATACAAGGATACTTGTAACAACCTACAATCTTTTACCGGAGTTTCAATAATGTATTGACCAAAATGGCTTGTAACAAAATCAAAATTGCAATTCATCGCCCGCTATGTAATCAAGACACCCTTCAAATCAACATCTTGCAACAACATTTTTTACTTTCACCACCTAAAACAGATCGAACAAGTCACAACTTTCAGATTTCAGATCCAAAAGGGACCATTTGCAGTCAATGACCCACAATTGGGAATATAGAATCAATTATCCGAATTTCAATTGAGAAAGGTAAAGATGAAACACAAACACAAACACAAATCCAAATCGAAAAACTTATCACCTGAATCGGATCCTTTTCAGATCATTTCCACCCTGAGGCAGCGAAACGAAAGTAATCAACACTCCCGGCTCAGCCTGTGCAACCCATTCTTTTGGCTCATCTTCCTCCATGGACAATACGGATTCAGTTCTACCACTAACTGAAGCTGGCGTGGCTGAGCCGCTCGAAAGGGCTCTCAGTTTGGCTTCCAAATCCTTCTTCCCCCTGAGCCGAGGCGTGGAGTTTGAGCTGCCCGGCCTTCTGTACGAGCCGTAAAACCTCTCAGACACTGAGCCAAAGTCCGAGTCTAGATAGTCTTCACCCTGTTTTCGGCCCGACGAGCCCGAACATGGCCTGCAGTTCTTATATGCATCAGATGCCTTCACTGCTATGTCCTTGATCTGAATCACATAACCCACACAAAAAGCCAGGATACATTAATACAAAAATTATTAATATTTGGACAAATTTGTAATGAAATTCCATCTCATAACACAGAAAACCATAATGCCCGACTTTAATGGTGATTACACAAAAAAAGCACTAAAACGATAAGTCAAAAGTAAATCGAAGACCTGAGTCGTGAGGGCCTTAATAGGTTGCTTGGTGGACGGCGTGGCGGCGTTTTCACCGTCTTCCGGCGGCTCGGGGAGAGATCCGTTCGCATTCAGGCTGCGCTTCGAGCACGCTATGCAAGTCAACATTCTACTGAACAAAACGGCGGCGTTTCAGAACAGAATGGGAATTCAATTTTAGCCGTATCGCCACACACGCTTGTCGGCCATGGAAGAAGCTGGTAGCACGAGAGCGTGAAGAACGAAAGAAAACTGAAAAGATTGAAGCTTGAGGGAAAAAAAATGGCCCCTTTGAATTAAGAGCTCGGGGAGTCGCCAATGGTGCGTCAATGGCTGAACCAAGAATGGCTCTCTCAATATGAGAGCTGCAGCAGACAAATCATAGATCAGGGAAAGTGGGGTTTGATTATTCTATGTTTTCTCACAAGTCCATAGCTCACAGGTGATAAAGTGTGACAGAGAAGGAGAAAACACTATAAAAAAAAATGGTGGGGGAAAGAATCACTGGATCGGAGGAGCTGTTGAGATTTGTGGGGTTGACGATGAAGAAATGGAGTGGAAGTGTGAGTTGCAGCTTGTTTAGGTAGTCATTTGTAAATGCTAATAAATGATGGGGGCTATTAGTTTGCATTTATATTTTATAATTGTTGTTTAAAAAAGTTATATATGAATTAGAATTGACATTTAGTATTTAACAGTTTTGCTATGGAGCCATCGGATGGCTCGGCTTATGGAGCAATCCATACTTAATCACCAATAGTGCATTGACACGTGTCTTACAATAAATACAATCTAGACAGGTGTCACTATATTAAGTGATGGATGGCTCCATAAGAAAACAATCCGATGGCTCCATAGAATTTTTGTAGTATTTAATATGGTGTACTATAGTGCTAATGAAAAAATTATACTATTTCAATTGAAATAAAAAAATAGATAAATATGAGAGGTTCTTATTTTAGCGTCAAATAAAAAATTATATTATTATTTATATTTAATGACGCTCTTCTATTGGAATAATTTTTTTTAATTCATATTATATGGTAAACTTTATATAAATTTATTGATTTGATGAATATTTGTATTAGTTTTGGTATGAAATGACCTCGACCAGCTGCATTCAAGTTGATCGGCCGCCTTCGTCGGTGGATGACCTTCAATACCTGCAAAAACTCGACATCAGAGGAAGGTTTTCAAATGAATAGTCTCTAATGCTTAAGTTAACAAGATATAGAAGACGGTGAACAGTATGTAAGTGTATATAAAGTGTGTAATGTCACAGTAGGCATACCTCACTCTACATTTATCGTAGATATGAATGTTCGGTAAATCTAGATAAAAAAATAGCTTGTAGTTGATAAGTTAATTGATAACACACAATACAACTTTGAACTTATAATTGATAGCTTATGAGTACAGTTGTTAAGATCATGTTTCATAATATAATTGTGATCTGATGACTGAAAAGTTATAAAATGTAACAAAAAATTTAGTAAAATTATATAAGTCATATGAAATGAAAAAATTAACCAGCTGTTGAGTTTTTTTTTTTTGGTTTTGTTTAAACTCATTCTAACAAATCAAATTTATTTTAATACAATAAGCTTATAATTTGACATAATAAGCGACCGTTTAACTTATGTAGCTTATCAAACATAAAAAACTGTGTATGGCTCCATAAGTCGATGGCTCCATAAATCGAGCCATCCGATGACTCAATAACAAAACTGTATCAAATTATTGAACTGATTTGTTAATTCATTTTGAGATTATAGATGATAATTACCAACTGATGATTGAAAAACTAGTGATAGTTAACAAATTATTGGTTTTTAAATTTTTTTACAATGACTTTATTTTTTATTTTTTCATATACGAAAAATTTCAATACCAAGAATTACCTGCTTTTGATTAAAATAAAAATTAAAAGAATTCTCTCCTTCACTTTTGTAAAGACAAACTCTTATTGGTTCACAGCCATCGATATATTCCAATCCGACGCTCCAAATTCTCTCACTACTTGATTCCAACCAGCAGCATAAAAACCTGT